TTTTTTTGAGACAGAGTCTTGCTTTGTTGCCCAGACTGGAGTGCAGGGGCACAATCGGCTCACTGCAACCTCCACCTTCCAGGTTCAAGCTATTCTCCCGCCTCAGCCTCCCGAGCAGCTGGGATTACAGGCACCCACCACCATGCCTGGCTAAATTTTTGTATTTTTAGTAGAGACAGGGTTTCTCCATGTTGGACAGGCGGGTCTCAAACTCCTGACCTCAGGTGATCTGCCTGCCTTGGCCTCCCAAAGTGCTGGGATTACAGGTGTGAGCCACCTCGCCCAGCTCATTGTCCCCACTTTACAGATGGGAGAATCGAGGCACCAGGAGAGTTAAGTAACTTGCCCAGAGTCACGTAATTGGCAACTAAATCTGACTTGAATTTGAGTGGTGTGAGCTTGAAGGCTGCACTGGGAACTTACATGCTACTGAGTCCCCAGCAGCACACCCTCGGCCATAATGATGGCAGAGTGGAGTGTAGGGTCTACACCTGCCTCCCACACTGGTTTCCATGACTTCAAGGATGTAAACCATGTGCCCCTGCCTGTAAAGCTGCTGCTGCTGCCGCCCCACCACCCAGCATGTTCTACCGCTGAACCTTTGAAAGGGCCACTACCCCGAAACAGAGTTTCCAGTAACTCTTCCTTCCTGCTCCTACCAGGCACAGCACTGATCCTGGGGACCCCCATTTCTGCCCCACCCCATGTTTAACGGAAAAACCTTCATCCCCTCCTACCACTGTCTCCAGAACTTAGCTAAGCAAAGACTAATTCTTGAAATATTTGTATTTTTACCAAGATCACTTTGTGCTAAGTGTAGGACATGCATTATCTCACTTAACCCTCACAATATTTCACTGAAACCCAGAAAGGTTAACTGACTTGCTCACAATAAGCTGCCCAAACTGAGCACTGTGCCGTGAGAAGGCAGTGCCTTCAATACCATGGGCACTATTATGACTCCCGCAGCTCCAGTTTTTCCTTAGGGCCTTCTTATTCCCACTACAGCTCCTAAATCCAACCCAGACATACCCAAGGCCTCTAGCAGGCCCCATTCCCAAGCAAGAGCTCTTCAGGCATGGTAGCCAAGACCCCCCTCAGCCCCTGGGCCCTGAAGCAGCCTTTTTGGCTATTCTGAGGTTGGAGCAAAATGGTGGGGCCCTGTCAGGGCCTGTGCCAGGGAGGGCCAGCCCTGAGGCCAGGCGCTTCCCCAGAGCTCAGCAGCAATTGAGGAGAAAGCAGCGGCTGCCAGGCAGCAGTGAGTTGATGTTAACTTCTCCTTTTTACTCCCCTCATCTACCCATATCTTCTAGATTTCCCACAGTTGCCATATATTCCTTAGGGAATGGGGAGTGTTTTCTTTTCCTTCTAAATATAAAAGGAGGCCAGGCACAGTGGCTCATGCTTATAAACCCAGCACTTTGGGAGGCTGAGGCAGGAGGATTGCTTGAGTGCAGGAGTTTAAGACCAGCCTGGGCAACATAGTGAAACTGAGTAGATACAAAAAAAAATTAGCTGGATGTGGTGGCGAACACCTAGGAGGCTGAGGCAGCAAGACTGCTTGAGCCTGGCAAGTTGAGGGTGCACTGAGCCATGATTGTGCTATTGCACTCCAGCTTAGGCAACACAGCAAGATCCAGTCTAAATAATACCTACCTACGGCTGGGCACGATAGCTTTGGGTAATCCCAGCACTTTGGGAGGCTGAGGCAGGTGGATCACCTGAGGTCAGGAGTTCCAGACCAGCCTGACCAACATGGAGAAACCCTGTCTCTAGTAAAAATACAAAATTAGCTGGGCATGGTGGCACATGCCTGTAATCCCAGCTACTTGGGAGGCTGAGGCAGAAGAACTGCTTGAACCCAAGAGGCGAAGGAGGTTGCAGTGAGCTGAGATGGCGCTATTGCACTCCAGCCTGGGCAACAAGAGCAAAACTCCCTCTCAAAAAAAAAAAAAAACCTACCTACTTACCTACCTACCTACCTACCTACCTACCTGCCTACCTACCTACATACATATATCTTTCACGCATACATACACACGAGCATTACCTGATCACATTAAAAATAGTTTTTGACCAGGCGTGGTGGCTTACGCCTGTAATCCCAGCACTTTGGGAGGCCAAGCTTGGTGGATCACGAGGTCAGGAGTTCGAGACCAGCCTGACCAACATGGTGAAACCCCATCTCTACTAAAAATACAAACATTAGCCCAGGTGTGGTGGCGCGCGCCTGTGGTCCCAGCTAGTCCGGAGACTGAGGCAAGAGAATCACTTGAACCCAGGAGATGGAGGCTGCTGTGAGCCGAGATCACACCACTGCACTCCAGCCTGGGTGACAGAGTGAAACTCCGTCTCAAAAAAAAAAAAAAAAAAATTGTTTTTTAAATACAATTCAAGTAATACAGACATACAGGGAGCAAGAGTGAAAATCTTCTTCACCTCACCTCTCCAAGCCCACTCCTCCCAGAGACAGACACCACCATTCTGGTATGGGCCCTTCCAGGCTTTTTTCTATCTACAAGCACAGAGGCAGTCTAGAGGTCCTCTAAGGCCCCCTTGCCTCTCAGAATGTGACTGAGATTGGCTCAAACCTCCATCTCCATGAACCATGGGAAGTCCAAAGTCACCTCCATATTTATTTCAGTCCCAAGAAAGGCAAGGCATGGGTGGGGGTCTCTGTTGTGCCTCCTCACCTCCAGACCTTTGGTTCTGCTCTTTCCTCCCTTCTCTCTGACCCAGATGAGAAGCTCAGCCCCTTTCCAGATTCTACCTGAAGACATGCTCACTGAGCATTGGTGAGTCAAGTAGACTTTGCAGGATATTTTTTTTTTTTTTTTGAGATGGAGTCTTGCACTATTATTGCCCAGGCTGGAGTGCAGTGGCACAATTTCAGCTCACTGCTACCTCCACCTCTCCTGTTCAAGTGGTTCTCCTGCCTCAGCCTCCCAAGTAGCTGGGATTACAGGTGCCCACAACCAAGTCCAGCTAATTTTTGTATTTTTAGTAGAGACGGGATTTCACTATGTTGGCCAGGCTGGTCTTGAACCCCTGACCTCGTGATCTGCCTGCCTTGGCCTCCCAAAGTGCTGGGATTACATGCGTGGGCCACCGTGCCCAGCCTGACTTCACAGGATTTTGGGGTACCTTGAAGTGTTCACATTGTACACAGCAATTTTTTTGTAAAAGACAAGGTCTTGGCCGGGTGCAATGGCTCACACCTGTAATCCTAGCACTTTGGGAGGCTGAGGTGGGCAGATCACGAGGTCAAGAGATCAAGACCAACCTGGCCAACATGGTGAAACCCCGTCTCTA